CATGAACAGGGAATCAGCAAACCAACACTAATTAACTTAGATTTACAAGTTAGCCCAGCAGAACTCAGATCTGTAATCCGACACTTGTTACATTTAGATTTGTGAGTTAGCTTGTTAGTCCAGCCCAGCTTTTCCTTCACATGGACATGTCAGGAAGCAGAGGACTCAAAGAATGAGTTCTGCAGCCTTGAACAGCTTACCTACCCTGCCTGTCCTCATAGTCTAATGATGGTGACAGTAAGTCAGAGGCTGTTGTAAGGAATAAAGGAGGTAACATACATGAGAGGCCAAAAACACTGTCTGGTATATCGTAAGCATTCTTTTTAAGTGCTAGCCATTATTCAGAATATCACAGAGAAATGCTTTTATCTTATCAAAACAGAAATGAAGAATTACATAAATGTCTCAAAGCACAATATCTAACACTCACTTGCATTTTAGGATTACACATCTTGAACACTTTGATTAGCAATTTTATAAATTTCTAGTAACAAATATGAAGTCATCATTTTATCTTCACCTCTTTAAAGCAGGAAGTCACGGTTACAACCATAGTACTCATCCTTTATCAAACTGGAACTTGCACTGTAATCATTAACCATTATTTGATTTTCTTTTGTATTTGGTTTTGGTTTTGATAATTTCCCATTTAAATTTATACAGAGTTCATCAAGAATAATACCTGCCTCTGCAACTTTCTTTCTTTGCCCAAATCAGATTACACTTCAGATGACTTCTGTAATGTGTATACGAATCCTCAATTTCCATTTAGCAGACCAGTAACTTATGTTCCAATGATCAAAAGGAGCATGTGTGATGATTTGTGATTCCTTCTCTTTACAGCAAAACTCAGTGGAGGGTTTATCCTCAGCCCTCAGTTCCTCTCGAACCCACCCGACTTAGGCTTTCCTCCCCGCCACTTCAAAACAGTGCTGTTGTCGGGTCACCAGTGACCTTTCTGCTGCTCAGTCCAGAGGCTCATTCTCACCTTCCGGGACCCATCTGCAGCATTTAACACAGCTGATCACTCCCTCCTCTTTTACATTCTTTACTTGGCTTCCAGGACCCACTTGATTTGGCTGTTCTCTTTACCCAACAAATATTTATTGAGCAACTGCTATAGGATGGGTGCTCTTCGGGGTGCAGCAGACTGCTTACCTTACTGGCTGTTCCTTCTCCATCTGCCTTGCTAGACCCACCTCTTTCTCCAGCCTCAGAACACTGAATCTTCAAAAGCCCCAATTGTGGACTCCTGTTTCACTTCTACACTCACTCTGTTGGTGATCTTAGTTTATATACCCTCTCTCTGTGCATAATGCCTACATTTTTATCTACATCCTGGATTTCTCCTCAGAAATTTAGGCTCTTTTAGCCAATTGTCTACTTTCTTTCTCCACTCAAGTATCTAAGTGGCTTTCACGTCAACAAGTCTAAAAACTTTCTCCCTTCCTTCAATCTGTTCCTCCCACTTCTTTAAGTGGCAATTCCATTCTTCCAACTGCTGAGACCAAACTACTTGGAGTCAACCTTGAAGCTTCTTTCTCTCACAGCCAAAATCCAATCTGTCAAGAAATCCTGTCAACTCCACATTGACAATGTATCCACAATCTGACCTCTTCTCAACACCTCCCTCACTAGCACACTGGTTAAGGCCCACACCCTCTCTCGCTTGGATTCCTGCTATAGCATCCTCATCGTCTCCCTGGCCCTGCTAAGAGTGAGGAGAAAAGTAAGAGAGAGGAGGTGAGGATGAGGTTCTATGTGATCTGGCTTCCGGACCTCATCTCTCACTATCTTAACCTCTCTCCTCACTCACGTCACTCCACCCACACTGGCCTCTTACTATTCCTCAAACATAGCCCCGCCTCAAGGCCTCTATATTCACTTTTCCTTCCACCCAGAATGCTCCTTGCCAGATATCCTTATAGCTCACTCCCTCAGCTCCTTCAGGTTTTCACACAAATGTCACCTTCAAACCCCAAATCGCCAACAACTCCCAGGACTCTCTACCCTCTACTCCTCCAAAGCATGTATCACCATGTTTGCCTTAATACTTGTCTGTTTCGTTCACTGGTGCATTCCCCAAATTTAAAACAGTGCCTGGCACAGAGTGTTCAATAAGCATTTGTTGAATGAACTGAAAGAACAGAGGCCAGCCTAACGGAGAAAGCTGAACAACAGATCCCATCGAAATAGAGAGCTAAAAACGCCTGCTCACCCACTCTCCTCCAAGCCAAGAACCTTGGAGAACTGAAGTGTCAAAAAAATCTAACTTTCTGAGACCTTAATTTCACATGTCTCCACATTAACAACAAGATATTATGAGCATATTCTTTGGCCTCACAGGAAAGAAACATCTTTATTTATATTTACTTGCATTACTACATTTAACCTAATAATAAGCAGTACTAAATAAAATCCCCAATGTAACTCCAGGTAGCGTCCTACTTTCATACCTCACAGATTCATGAAATATGAATTAATAATGATTAACTATACGGAGGTCAATTCATAAATAAATATAATTATGATGACTTTAAGAATCTGTGTAAAACTCCTAATTTTACCTCACCTTTTACACAATATAGTTCCAGGTTTTTGTATGTTTTTTAGTTTGTGGTTTTTTTTTCCCATTTCAACTAAGCACAGATTTTACCTGCTCAATAAGCAACTGATTGAGACTGAAAAGTTACTATTTTCAGAACAGTTTCACTATATTTAGGAGAAATAAACTTATCACTGGCATGTGGATTTTTGTATTTTCTCTCTCCCACTTACTATTACAAAATACGGTTAAAAAACAAACCAACTAAAGTCACTGTATGACAAGGGCAATGCTGACTACACTGAACTGCATGGCAGGCAACAGGAGAGAGCACCAAACCTAGGTGATGCGCACAAGTCCAAATTCAGCATTCCAAAGGCAGTCTCGGGGTGTTGGTGATGTAACGTTCAAAAGTGCAAAACAGATACTCAAAAAAGTTAGATAACTTGCTAAAAATAACACAGGTACTAAAGGATGGAGCAGGACCCAAACCCATCCTCAGGAAAGAAGTAGTACTAAGCGTAACACCAGTGCTCAACAAATGTGAGGGACCGCCAAATGTTACTACCCACCTACTCCAATCTTTTATTATTTACAGAACACTTTAACTTTTTTTATGACATTAATAATATAATTTGACAGAACTAAAGCAATCACATAGGACTCATGTATTCTTTATCAGCAATCTACAATTTGTAACCTATTCAGATATCTCTCAAATACTGAATCATCAAAGAACTTAATCTGGGGAAGGGGAGGGAGGTGCCAAGAAGGCGGAGTAGAGACTCATACCTCACCCTCTCCCACAAATACATCAAGAATTACATCTATAAACCCATGAATCGCACAGAACTTAATCTGGAATTTGTAATCTTTTTAAAATCAACGACAAAAAACTCAAAAAAAAAACCTTCACAAACGAACATTTCACTAAAAGATTAACCTCCACATTCTCCACTGATTCAAAACTCTAATCTAAATTATGCTTCTCTCACACTAAAATAATAAAGAATGGCAAATTCTACTGAAATATTAGAATCTGAAATAAAGGTATCTAAAACCAAATCATAATCAATAAATACATAAAAGTAAAGTTCTGCCACTTCTTACTTGAAGGAGGCTAACACATTTTTAGGAAGTCCCTATCATTTATTAGATGAGGTAGAAAACAAAGTTTCTATTCATTAACTATCACTCCGGTAAAAAAAAAAAAAGCCATTATTTTGCCATGACAATGATTTATTTTTAAGTATCATGTCACATACACTGAATGATGACTTCCATGACAATTGTGAGAAACGAACAAAAAATAATTATTATTCTCATTTTCACATCCGGAAACAAGCTACTAGGTTAGGGATTTGACCAAAGTCATGAAGCTACCAACGTTGTCTTCAAACTATCCGCTTTTTAAATTTTTTCCAGTCATCTGTATTGCACAGACCTCACTTCCCTACCCAAGCCACCGCTCACAGACAGGCAGCCTGGATAAAGGGAAGCCTGCAGGTGTGACTGGAAAGATGGCAAAAGGGAGAAGAAGGGAAACAAAGATAGCCTATGACTCCCTCATTAACCTTATCTAAATGAAAGTTTCTGGGTCGCTGCGACCCGCCTGAACGGGGCTCCGAACCCGGCGGCTCAGGTGAGTTTTCCAGGGTGTGTTCCGGCTTCCCAGTGCTCCCGACACCCACCACAACCCAAAACTTAGCTCTCTGTCCCCCGCGGCCCAGGGACAGAACATCTCGGCCCTTTTCACAGCGGAGATGAAGGAGGCTTTTGCTTCAACCTCTGCGACTTACCTGTCGGGTCATAAGAGACTTAATTTTTTGCATGTCGAGATCGTGAGGCAGTATTCTGCAGCAAAAAACTAATAAATCACACAGAACCAGCAGACAGCTGGCCCCGATACAAGGAAGCCATAGTGAGTGGTCACGTGGAGCTGCCGACGTGGGGGGCCTCTTCCTTTCCCCGAGCATGCTGGGAACTGTAGTCTTCCGGCTGCCCCGGCACCAGCAATGGAGGAGAGATGAGGGCTCAGGTACTACATTTCCCGGCAAGCAAAACAGCTGACGCTTCAGTTAAGCCCACAAATCCTGTTTCGCTGAGGGACCGCGGCCGTCGCCGGTTTTTACTGAGGTAATTGCTCTCTCGGTAGTTACGCTTTGGTGAGGCAAAGGTCTAACTCGTAAGTGACGAAGCATTGAGCGACAGGAACAAGCACTGAGAAGGCAGTATTTAAACCAGGCTGACTTAATGCCCCCTAGGAGTGTAGTGGAGGAAACCCCACCGGGTCTAGAGAGGCGGGGTGGGAGGAGCACAGGCTGACGCTAAGGGCGGGAACGCCAGGGAAGGCACACTCCGAGGAGTGACCTGAGAACTTGGCACTCCCCGGGTGGCACTGGGCTTGCGCTGAGGAAAAGTGTGGTCCTGGTTGTCCAGTAGGCGGCTGTCCAAGTTTAGGGCTGTTCTTCCTCAGTCTTGGCATCCACTGCAGAAAACGAAAACCAAAAGATTTACCCCCCACCTATTATCACCTGTGTAATTTAAGTCACGTCGATGGAAAATAAAACTATAGTAGGTACACCTGTCATTTTAACGTCCTCTTTCAGTTGTTAGCAGTTCAGTTAAATTGGGGGAAGCAACAGCGGAGTTGCATCGGGCTCAATTTAAGAAAGAACTTTCCATGAGAACTTTGTATGAGACTACCAGAAAAAAAAGCGACCGAGAGCTAGCACGTAATAATAGCTGACATTTATTGAGAGCTTACAGCATGTTAGAAGCCCTGCTAATAGCTTTACATGTAGTATCTCATAAGCATCTTGTGTGGTTGGTACTGTTATCCCCATTTTAAAGATGAGGAAACAGGTATGGAGAATTAAGTAACTTGCCTAAGAATACTGCAGATATGCAAGCAGAAACTGAAGGACTGGTTATCCAGATGTTGTTTTAAGTAAAGGTTTCATGTATGGTGTTGAAGAGCGAGTCCTAAAGGGTGATACAATGATTTTTTAAAGTTTACATTTATTTTAATTAATGTTTATTAGGAAAAAATATAAAACACAGAGCCAGGTTTTCAATATTTCTTAGGACAACTAAAGAAATGTTAAAGTATGCCAAACTAATGAAAAATATTAGATAAACGATAGTATGGGTGGTAGATAGATATAGCAAAAGTCATAAAAGTAGTTTGCAAATGGCTGAAGTTTGAGGTCATTTGCAACTCTGAAATTCTATAATTTGACCTTTCAGAGTCTTGTCTTACTAATTTTTACAAATGAGATTAAAATATTTGATCCAGGGTGATGTAAGTGAGAGGATACAAGTGAATATAAACTCTAAAGCACCTTATGATTGTGAAGTCTTATAGTCATAATTCTGCCTAGTTCTCTGCTCCAACAGAGCCATCCAATTAGGCTTCTATTATTGTGCTTAACAATTCCTTTTTAAATTATGTGTTTACCTTTATGCTTTTCTCCCTCTGTTATTTCTAACCCCATAAAGAAATTTCAGGGCCTTTTGGGCAACCATATTGGTTCATTCTTTACCTGCTCTAATCTTAATTGCCAAACAGTTCTTACTGTGTGAAGATCTTCAATATTTAGAAGTCTCTGAAAGCATCAAAGAAATAGAAACTGCCAACCATATTAGCAGATAAAATGAAACTCAATTCAGTAAATGACTGTTAGGCACTAGACTACACTATCCTAAGCACTTTAGATAAATAAAATACAGTTTTGGCCCTCAAGGAGTTTACAGTTTAGTTATCCAAGTCCAGTAGTTCTCAGACCTGCTATTCAGATTCACCGGAGGTGGGTACCATAATAATTGTTATCCTTTTCTTTTGGGTTCTTTGTTTAGGATCTTCAGTAATTCTTATAGATGGTGGCCAGCTCTAGCATTTCAAATCCATTCTTTACAAAAGAGAAAATTTATTTAAGGCTTCGAGGTCACAGGACTAGAACCCAGATCCAAACCCAGAATTTTCCTTCATACACTCAATACACAAAGTTGCAGGTGACAAGATATATCTATATCTATCTCTATCTATCAACACATAGGTATATCTTATTCCACATATTTGGAGTTTTTTAGTCAGCCAAATTGGAGAAATGAGTGTTTTCTATATCTATTTGACCCTGAAAAGGCAAGAAAGCATTAAAACTTTGTTTTACTCTGATATTCTACATTTTAGTTTATTTCTTATTGACTAAAAAGAAATGGAAATTCCAGGCTTCTAAAAGTTCATAGACTGTAACTGTAATACTGGAAACTGTAAATATTGGAAATTGTAAAGTAAATCAGTGCTGTTATCTAAATAAAATATATTTTCTAATTCAGCATACTCTAACACTGTAGAAAATAAGTGAGCCATACATGAAAATATTATTAACCCCCTAAACTGAAGCAAAAACAAAAAACAAGGCTAGAGCCCCAAAGCACACTTTTTTTTAAAGGGGAAGCATGTTATTTCATTTCCATTTTTCAAAAATACGTATTTAAGACTTATTTAGGACTCACACTTGCCTGAGGGTCATTAGTGGTAGGCCAGAGCAAACTAGTGCAAAGTGTGGATGGCCTGCCAGCAAGTCTTGAAAGCTTGTTGGTCAACAGTCCCCTGGTAAAGGAACGCTAGCCCCATTTTAGCAGATAGGAGCATCCAGGCTAAGAGTTAAGTAAGTTGATGTGATTCAAGACAGTAGCATTAGCAGTAAAGTAGGATAAGGGTGTATTTCTGATGGCCCAAACAGGAAGAGCCTCTGGAAGCTTAAAATTAAAGCTGAGATCCTGGGTTGATTAGGAAGATACATTTCTAGTCATCCTATAAATATCAAAGCAGGGAGAAGATGTGACCTGCCCAGGACAATGTAACTACACCTCAAGCAGTAGTAGAAAAAGAGGACACTTGCTGAAAGTAAAGCGGTAGCCCAGAGAGGGGCCCAGGAAGAAGACATTGCTGCATAGTCATTTAGTGACCATATCAGAAGAAGGAGGCTTCTGGGAGTTAGCACTGTAGACATAGCTGTATGGGAGTGACACGAGCACAGGCATAGGGAATTGTGATGGCTTCTCTAGCAGTCAGCTCTTCACTGTAAACTGTAATCTTTCCTAAAATCTATCTAATTATAACTTAAGACAGGGCTTTCTTTTCCTGGTTCTTTATAATCTCCACTGTTCTATGTTGACCTTGGCATTGGCATTGTACCACCTCTTCGTATCAATTCTTCCTGCCATTTCAAAACACTCATATGCTACTGGTAAATAATGAGTGTGGATGTTTGAAATGCAGTGGCAGATTGCTTTATAAAGCTAGACCAGCTTTACATAAAATTTAAACAAACTCAACAGTAAACTATAGTGTGACTTGAGCAATGACAAAAAGCCTTGCACCCATCCTCCCACCCCTTCCCTGACACACTTGCGTTGTTTGAAACTTTATCACCATGAATATAGATCGCTTAAATTAATGGCTTTTTTACTTTAAATCCAAATATAACTAAGATCAGTAAACAGGCTCTTGAACAGTGTGGTATAAACACCTTAAACCATCTTTAATAATTACGTAGAAATTGAAAACCATCGAAGTTCTCTTTTCACGTTATCGTGTATTCTTGTGTAAACGTCCTGAATTCAGAAATTGCGTCAGCCGGGAAGAGTTTAATGCCTACTTCCTGCCACTAGAGGGCGCATTGTCCTGGTTCTGTCACAGCACTTACGATGTACCAATTAGGGACGGTCATTTTTTACTGTGCGCTATGATATGAAAAGATCACCTAATTCATTTAGGCATTTAATTTATTTATGTAACTCTGTTATCACTTATGGCATAAAGTAAGGAGTTTTTAATGTAATACAAAGGAAACAAACAGAAAAAAAACCCTCAGAATAAAGATTAGTCCTTTAAATTGAGTAAGTCTAACATTATTTGGAAAAACTTACTCCGTTATCCTTATTTCTCTCCCTAGAACCCAAAAAACTTTATTACAAGCCAACACTGAGTTTGAAAAACACCAAAAAGCGCTCAGGTAATAAAAGCAATTAGAGATTAATATTGATTAAAGATGTGAGGGGAAGTCTGTGTACTATCCATATTACTTTCCAAATTGTAATCTGTGCAATCCAATTTTTAAATGTATATGCATTTCTTAATCATCAACTGAGAATAAGAAAACATGGGCCAATGAAAATTTTGGCCTATTTCTGGGGGAACAACTTAACAAAAATACTAGGTAACCACTATGCTAGACCCACAAATGAGTAAGATAGTCTTTATATTCAGGGAGCCCAGAGGGAAAGTAAACATGCAATAAAATTAATTGATGTTAATAAGTGCTACAGTAGTGCTACTATCTCTAAATCGCCCATAAAATATATAGAGATAGCACAGAGAAAGTTGTGGTATAATAATTACCTGGGGCGGGGGGGCAGGGGGGAGCTCTTATTTTTCTGAAGCTTGGCAAGGTCATAAAGTGACCCCTGAAGAGACCTCAGGTTTTTCAACAGTCACATTTTCTTTGCCTATAGGAGCACTCCTGGAAGAGTTCAAAGCCTTAATGCAAAAAGGGTTTCCAAATTTGAATTCCAAAATAACTTATCATTCCTTTTTTTTACCTTTAATTAACCTAGAGGGATATTCTTCCTTCCCCTATTATCATTGAACTTCTTGGTGAGCCTTTTCTGTTAAAAATGGTTTATGCAAGAGATTTTGCTTGATTTGATGCAGGTTCAGTTATATATTTTTATTTTATATAGTGTAGTCTTGGACTAGAACCTACTTGCAACAGAGGAAGTGAAATGAAATGAAGTAGGGGTTAACTTACAACTTAGTAAATTAAGCAGAAGTGCTCACACCACCTGCTGCCTTGGCAGTGAAAAGGCCAGGCTGAAAATCTGTAGCCCAGACACCACAGTAAAGGCAAGATCATCTCTGGGCTATTGGTTCACTTACTGTGTGCTTCAGCTGTGAAAATGTGGCCTCAGATAATTATCTGTTGGCATAGGCTTTTTGTTATAATTGTGCACAGTCCATGGTTCTGTGTCACTTGGAAACACACCTGTGGTTTGCTTTTAAAAATAACATGACTCCATAGATTCAATAAAACCATGGCAGACATTTGCAACAGGAAATACTACATGGAAAAAATACATTTTTTAAAGATATTTAGGTGCCCTATTTCCTTTGGTGTAAATTTTATGTGTTACTTGGTGACTTCATGAGGGTTTATAACTGTTTAGCCAATATGTGAAATACTGCAGTTTTCATAGAAAAATATTTTAATTTCAAATTGCGCCATAGTTTTGTGTGGTAGGAAACCAGGTTTTGTTTTTTCAGGTAATTTCCCAATATGCTCTCATAATGAAAGCATACTGTTTTTCATTGGTCACCCCAAAGAATGTTTTCCTTTATGTGATTATTAATAACTCAGAATAATTCATGAAATATGCTGACCATTACTGATAATCACTAAGAAGCTGTTCTAGGAGTCAGAAGCCTATGTTAGTGCAGAGCCTCTAACAGGTGTCCCCACTCCCTGTGTCCTTTGTATACACATTCATTCTGTATTCAAATCACAGGAGCAAGAGGCAGGCTAGGGTCTGTTACCTCACTGCTAATTTCCCTGGCAAATAAACCAGCAGCTGCTGGTCCATGAACCAAGTTGCCACCAGGAACGGGGGACTGTATGCATGGGACAGGATGCTTTCATGGAGCCCTTCGGCAGGACGCGTGGGGTCCTTCAGTGCAAAATATACCTCCTTCTCTTAGGTAAGGCACTGCATGAAGTATATTTTAGCTACTTTTTTTTAAGTTGTGGACAGAACGTAAATATTTGCTTTAGGCTGTAGATTCACTCAGATAATTGAAGAACAGCTCAGAACCTTTTAAACAATAACACACTGTTCCAGCAAAGAAGCAGAAACCTTTAGGAGAAATGAGGTTCAATAAATAGATGGTTATTGTATTCTCAGAACAATCATTGTCAATAGCACTCAATAAGAAAGTTAAGGCATTCTAAAAACTTAATGATTTCTTCTTTTTACAGAATTTATGTATACACGTTGAATAGTCTTCAATGCATTTTATTTTAGCAAATATCCTTACAGGTCATGAATTTGTGACGGCTTATAGTGAAACTTAAAACAACTTATGAAAATAGTTTTCAGATGTTTTAATAAAAGATATGTGGCAAACGTCTCTCTACCTATTTTTCACCCATCTTATCAAATGTGGGAAAAGGTGAGATTCCAAACTGACAAAAAATATTTTATACACAATAGGGAGAAATGTGTTTAAAAGTATTATTTCTCTAAAATGCTTTTAGCTTTTCTGTTTGCCCAATGGCTAGTTCAATTACATTTTTTCCCCCACCTTACTATTTTTCACTCATTCTCCTCTTTATCTTTGGAGTTTAAAGAGATATTTCTCCAACATTCCCACTGGTTTTATGTCACTTATTTTCACCAGATGTTCTCTTTCCATTCTTCCTATTTATCAGTTTTAAAAGTCGAGTTAGTGTCTTGTTTATACTCAACAGATAAGAATTTTAAAAAGACTTTATTCCTTAAAATTTAAGAACAAATTTGCTAAATAACAAACTTAAGCTTTGGCCTTCTTCAGTAGCTTAGAGCCCTGCACTCACTGGTATCTTGTGGTATGGTTTTCATAGTAAATGTGATTGTCACTTAAATTTGTACCTAAGGTTATTCATATTCTGCACATTTAAAATGTACAGTTTGTAAATGTTTTAAGTGTTTGAGCTTCCCACAGTTGGGATTGCTGTTCCAGTGCTTATGCTGTCAAATTCAAGTCTATATAGATTTTTAGTTTTTGAACTTTTTAGGAAAAGTCACTACCATAACTGGGCTTTTATCTTTGTGCTTTTTTCTGGGCTTTGAAACTATCCTATGTGTCAGTGCCCCACTCACTTTTATGACAATAGGACTGCTGTCATTTCCTAAGTAATCTCTTTGTAATTGGCTTTAAGACTGGGAGGCAATTCATTTGAAGAATTCTACTAAAATAAAATGAAAAATACTTTAGAGAAATAGTAGCATGTTCATAAGTAGTTAAAGCAATTTTTATCCCTTCAGACTTTCTTTCTTACACAAATTTACTTTTCTCCATTAGCAGTGTATTATAAAAAAAAATAGGTAATTTGGAATTTTTTGTGTGTTTTGTTGGAGTATTGAGTATCGGTTTGTTTTTTTCTTTTTAAAAAAATCTTAAAAATTTGAAGCCCCAAATGTAGTTTCTAAAGTCTATTCAAAGTACAACATCATGATTTCTATTTTCTCTAAAGAGACAAGAGTTTATTTTCAGTCAACAATAGCTGTGTTGTGCTTGTTAACATCAGACATGATAATGGAGAAGTAAATGCCACCTCTTTTGAGCTACAGCTAGAGGTCACTTTGTGAAGTCTGATATTTACACTCAATACACTGAAACTGGCCTAGGGAGTCTTGTTGCTGGAATATAGATAAATTCACAATATGATGTCAAGTGTCCCTTAACATGAGACATTCCTTTACCAATGCCATTGTTTTATAGTTTAAGGGAATCTCTAAAAGGGAGAGTATTGCTATAATTTTATATGTCAGATTACTAATGGTGTTATCATTGTTCTCCAAATTAGTATAGTACATTATATGCAAAAAGTCTAAAAGTTTTCCTTTTTATACCCAAAAAGTATTAATGAATCTAATAATAAAATTGGACTTTCATTTAAGTCCGAATATTTGGACTATCAAAAGAAAATTAAAATTTCATCACTATTTATATCATTTATTTTCTTAAAGCTAATTTTTTCTTATAGAGGTTAACTTCTTAAAACCAATAGTTTAGTTTTTTAGGTTTTCTCATTCAGTTAGAAAAGAGCACTTGAAAAATTCTCAAAATGAACCTAATTTTTTTAAGTTAATAAACTACTGTTTTGACAGCATGGATTCATCACATCTGTAGTGGGAAATACAGCAATGGCAAAAGAACATGTGTTCTAAAATGTAAAGAAAGAAGCCAGTTATCTTTTTATTCACTACAAGTAAGAGTTGCATCATATCAATACGTTCATGTCTTTCCTGCAAAATAAAAAGATTTTAGTGGATGAGATGAAAAAAACCTATAAATAAAATTTCATTCCTTGCTGATACTGTTATAACTTGCTACCTACAATTTATCTGATAAAAATGGTGTAGGCAATCTAAGCAAACAGCTACTGTAACAGCTGTGCTATCTCTTACTGTCATACGTGTATTTGAAAAAGCACACGTATTTGAAAAGAATTTAAATAACATGATTTTATATCATTTGATATGATAAGCATTGAATATATTTAGAGGTATTATTGATGGTAATATATTATTTAAGGTATTATTACATGATGCAGTTTCTAAAATAGACCAAAGAACTAGTTCATTCCCCTTAATAATTATTTTAAGTGCCATATAAAATGCTATTTTCTACTAAAGTAGTTTCATTTTTCCATGGGCTACAACATTTGTATTGTGTTTAATATTGTATTAAATAAAATTTCTTCCTATTATTTCAGTCATAGACTCTCCAATCAGTCTTTTCTTACTTAAGATTCAACATTCTGATTCAAGATCCAAAAGTCACCAACATTTTTATTCTAGTCATGCTCACACTCCATAGTAATAAAGTCCCAACCATTTTCAGAATATTACAATCTCAGTTAATCTTTCTCAACTCAGCCACAAAAAAAAGTAGATAAAAAGGTTCTTCCCCTTTTCAAAAAAAAAAAAAAGTAAAAAGTAAACAAGAACTTCTTCAATGACTTCCCCAAACACCAAGAACAGATTGGCCAGAATTGCATTCAGGCTATCTATATCCCCATCTCAGTCCAGTGGTGGTTTCTAGATTGAGCTGTGAAATGTATTTCATGGACCAATAAGTCATTGACCAAATTGCTCACTGTCAGAGGCAGCTACCAGGTTTTATGTCAGCAGCCATGCAGCTTTTTCCAGTACAATTTCAAGGCAATGATGTGATTTTCATTATTCCCCTTGATTCCTTGGCAAAAAAAAATCAGAGAACTCCCACTTTATTAAAAGATATCCAGAAATTGACAACTTAGTAAATGAATTAAAACCTGAGACTCAATACTTCAAAATTCTTTAGGCCCTCGATCAAGTAAAAATGGGTCTTTCCCCTTCAAACGTCAAGAACATAGAGTGACGAGAAGTGTTAGACCTCAGCCAAGAGTACTCCCTTTCACATATGCAAAACAAAAGCAATGAGGTCCAGAGAATTAAAATGACTTATCTAAGGTCGCTTAACTGATCAATCACCATTTTATTCCAAGTATGTGTTCTTTACTAAGACCTCTCCTTTCAGTGGATTTTTAACTTTATCAGAGTATCAAATACTGAAATCTCTCTGCAGGTTTAAAGAATAGGTTCCTGAAATCTCTTATGTCCAGGCAACTTGCAATTGATGAATTTAGGGTATATGGTAGAATTAGGACAAGGGAATCCAAGATCAAGAATGAACCATGAAACCCTCAAATATTTTTGTATTCACTGAAGTAAAAAAGGAAACAGCAATACAATTAATAAATACAGTGAAAATTACATTTTACATATCTTAAGTTAGTACTAGTGGGTACTAAAAAACTAGTTATTATTTATTACTTACCAGGAACTTGTCAGGAGCTTTCTATCACCAATTTCAATGAAAGACAAGTAACTGCACGTCATTTCATGCAGATAATACATGTACCAAGAGGAATGTTTACTGTACGGGTCCCCCATCCTAATGCCCAGTGTCTTTGGATATCTGTGACTTTAAGATCTTCACTCCCTTCTGTCGGCCTCTGCTTTATATATCTCAGGCATCACTAGTTTTAAGTCCTAGATATATTTCTCATCCTCTTTTATCTCTCTTATTATTTCCTTGTGGAAACCACTTCTCTTTTTCTGCAATCTACTTTCTCTTCTCTTTAGAATTCCCAGCCACTGGTTCCTGCTTTTTCTAATGATTCAAATTAGGAACAACTACAAATTTAACATTCTTGCACTTGCCAGGAAGGAAAACAGGAGCAAGTCCTCATGCGTTTATGACTCCTGTGTTATGGACCAAATCACTAAAATGAATGTGCAGGTAAAATCCATTATCAGAAAATAAAAAATTATAGGCCAGTCATAAATACACACAGAGCCCAAAGAGTCTATAAGATACATATTTGTTTTTCCCATAGAGTTAGCTTAATTTTCAGTCCATAGTGTCCATTTCAGTTAAGCATCTAGGCGTCCCTTCTCCCTCTAACTTCCTATGATCCTCCTCTTTGTCCTTTCTCCTCTTCACCTCTTTGCTCTGACTTCCCTACTGTTCCCAGGGTCTCACTGTCTGCTAACAGCTACCTAGAGACTGAAGCCATGGAAACCTTTGCTCTAAATTTCACTCTGGGAAGCAAAGAGAGAATTTTACTGTTGTTAGAACTTGATATCTCATAGGAATAGACCTTTGTCTTTCAGTTTCTCCAAATAAATCATCACACAAAAGGACCTTTCTACCAATGCCTTGTGATGGCCTTTCATAACATGATTCAGGTAAATCATAAAGATCCCTTCCCTAGTAAGGATGACAAGGGGAAGCAATCAAATAAAGTAAAAGTTTTATATATGACAGAATTAAAATTGTAAGATACCTCTATTTGTGCCCAAATTTCCATCTCTTCTCACCCAGGATTTTATTCCACCCTCACCCATCTGTATTCTTCATCAAAATTTATCTTTCTAGTGATCATTCCAATAGCTACAAACATGCTGTTCAGCATCTATCCAAAGGAAGAAAAGAAGACATTTTTTAAAAAACATTTTTCTACTCCCTTTCACAGCAACACTCCCCAGAAGTGTTGCAATACCAATTGTCTCCAATTTTCTTTCCATTCTTTCCCTTTTCCCTCACTGTTCAAAAGCCTTCACATTTAAATCCTCCCATTGTCTCCCCCGCTGTTTCATATGATGTTCTATGATGTAGGTACCATATTGCTCCCTTTTAAAATGAGAATTTTGAAGCAAAGACCTTTTGATTTAAGCTACATGGTAGCCTGAGCTAAGGAGTATTCTCTTCTCAATTGCAAATACATAGAAATGCTAGATAAAATAAAGCAATATATGTCTCAAGGTAAAGATGGGGAAATCTCCCAGAACGAGATACTAGGAAGAAACCTGCAGATGTAGCAGTGAGTGCAATCGCCCAGACAACCCAGGCAGGCAGGAGGCCTGGAGCCAGGGCTATACATTTGGCAGAGCTCCATGCCCTGAGACCCTCCAGGCCCCTCATTCTCTCCTAAACCCACCCTAAGCAGGCTTTTATGCCCAGCACATCCTTTTAATATTGCCTCTTAGATGTCAAATGGGCATCTAAAATGAACATTTCCAAAAACAACTCCCAATCTTTCCCCAAAAATCTGTCTTCTCACACTCTTCACCATGATTAATTTATTAGTTGCCCATTAATAAATGATGACGCCAGTCTTCAAGTTGATCAGGTCAACAACCTTAGAATCATTCTTGACTCTTCTTCGTTTCTTGTATCCCACCCTCAATGTCATCCAGTCCTGTTAGCACCACCGCCTTTTCTCACAATATTTTTTATTACCACTCTTATTTACAGTACAATCATCTCTTGGCTACGTTATTGCAGTCACCTCCTAAATGGTCTCCCTACTCCTGCTCATATTTTAGTCTGTTCTCACGGCAGTTAGAATACACCTGAAAAAAAGAAAGGGAGGGAGAGAGGGAGGGAAGGAAGGAAGGAGGAAAGAAAGAAAGAAAAGAAAGAAAGAAAGAAAGAAAGAAAGAAGAAAGAGAAAGAAAGAAAGAGAAAGAAAGAAAGAAAGAAAGAAAGAAAGAAAGAAAGAAAGAAAGAAAGAAAGAAAGAAAGAAAGAAAGAAAGAAAGAAAGAAAGAAAGAAAGAAAGAAAGAAAGAAAGAAAGAAAGAAA